TATTATATTTTACAAGCTCCATTACTTAAATTACTAGTTCTCATATAATTTCTCAGCTATTTTTTTATAAGACAATTTGTAGCATCTAACACTTCATCATACATTGAATCCACAACATATTAAACACTTATATTAGCACTAGGATTGTGGATGATATTTTCTTCCTGCTCGTTAAGTTCGCAAATGCTGATTTTAATCAGACGATGACCTCGTTTATCTTTATCTCGGTGGATAATGTATGATGATGATGATAATTCTTAAGAATGGTTTCTCTTCCTGTAACATTTCTTTGATTTCGATGGCCGCTCTTCATTAATAGCTATTCTATTCGGTGGTAAATCGTGAAGCTGCTCCTTTCGGTTGTAATAATTTAGTGTAAATTTATCCACATCCTGTGCATAATAATACGGATTAGTGATGGGATTAGAATCATTGTGTTCCTCAGTGTTGGCCACGATCTGCAATTAACAAAAACAAGTATGAAGTCAAAAAAAGGTAATGGCGGCTGAATTTCTAAATAGTAAAAAAAGTTGATTAAACTCATCAATATAGATGATATTTGACGAGCGTTGTAATCAACGTGCACTCGCTTTGAGAATAAAACAATTGAGGGAGGGCGGGAGGCGCTCTTCAATCCAGGTAAGACACATCATTTTATTTAGTTAGCAGTTGATTGCAAATTAATTAATATCTTTATTATAATGGATTTCCTCAAAGTAACGACCGATTATATCAGTTACATTAGCATAAGCTTAGCTTCACACACCTGACCATAAAGAAGAAATTATAGGTGTTTTATATGAATACGATAGATTTTGCTAATAAACTATCCAAAAAAAAAACGTTTACTAGCACTAACTACAACGAAGTTAGGCTAAAAAGTTGTGATTTCTGTGCGTCTATACCAGCAGTATCTCACAAACACTCTGAATATAATGCCCAATAACTCAACTGGAAGTGGAAGTACACTTATTCCCGCAGGATAGAACTGTGAGTATGTAGACGTTAATTGGTTAAACTAAAAATTTTGTTCCTCTACTGGAGAGAATTGGGGTCTTCAGCGGCATGTAGCTCGAGCGAAGCGAGAGCAAGTGACGCAGAAGCCCCACTTCTCACCTACTCGGATTAATCCCATCCGCCAATTTTCATGAACGCACATCGCGTCAATATTCAAGATACCATTCTCACCAACTGGATGCTTGGCGGTCTACCGCTGTGCGTTTTACTAGGAGTTTTCTTCCTCGTACAACTTCTCTGTGGAATTGTTTACCACCGGCGATTTTTCCGGACCGATACGACCTGGGGACCTTCATGAAAAGAGCTTACTCCTTTCTAAAGGGCCGGCAACGCACCTGCAATTCCCCTGGTGTTGCGGATGTTTACGGGCGGCGGTAGTCACTTTTTTATAGAAGAGGGTCTATAGTTAGACCCTCTTCTATAAATAAGTTATCGTTCTTGTTTTATGAGTACCCATAACTCGGCAAGTTTCCTGGAATATTTGAGACTCAAAATTCCTTCCTTGATCACTGTGAATCTCTAAAGGTACTCCAAAACGACAGAAGACTTCATGAACTAGTTCATCTGCAACTGTTGATGCTTCTTGATTTGGAATGGCGAAGACTTCTGGCCACTTAGTAAAGTAATCCATGAAATACTTGTTACCGCTTTCACTCTCCGGAAACGGCCCCGCCACGTCAATGGCTATTCTCTCCCATGGTGCACCAACATTATACAACTTCAATGCACCTCTACTACGAGTCTGAGGTCACTTTACAGCCGCACAACTTGTACATTTGCGACACTAGTCCTCGACATCGTTTCGACAGTGGACCCAGTAAAACCATTCTCGGATCTTCAGTAGAGTTCGTTTAACTCCCAGATGGCCTCCTGAACAATCATTATAGTACAGCTGTAGAACATCCGGTACTTTAGCTTTACGGACAACCATTTGCAAATGACAGCTGTCTCCTCGAAAATTTTCCCACTTAAGGCATAGAACTCCATCCTGAAGCAGCAAGCTGTCCCATTGGGCCCAATAGCTTTTAGTGATCGAACTCATCGCTGAGATCCTCGCTCCACTTGGGCTTGGGAGCACTGGCCTTCATCCATTCCAGAATCGGCTTGATGTCCAGATTTTCCTGCTGTGAATGTCGTAGGCTGTCCTTACACTCGTTGCTGAGGTGGTCTATCCTGAGCATCCTCACGGATACCACTTCCTTACTCTCTTGCCTAGAACAATGTTTGCAATCTTCAAGACAAGGTCTTCTTGACAATGCATCTGCATTGCCATGAGATTTCCCGCTGCGATGTCTGATAGTAAAGTCGTATTCCTGCTGCTGCTGGGCGGTGATGTTAGCCGCACTTCCCTTCTGAGATCATTCACATTCCCTTTCTAGGGTTCGCTTAGGGCAGCTGGATCGAAGATGGCCCCTTTCTCCACAGCCATAGCACCTAGGGCTTTATCCTTTATTGTGGTCTCGAACCGTAACTGCTGCAACCTCCTTAGCGTGAGGGGAACGATGATCCTGCCCCCGCCAGGCGGTGCCGTTAGCTGCACTACCCTCTCGAGATCGATCAACTTCCCCTTTCTACAGTTCGCTTAGGGCAGCTGACCCACAGCCATAGCACCTTGGGCTGTATGTAGGGCTGAAGCTGCTGCAACCTCCCTAACGCGATGGGAACGATGATCCTGCCGCACGGCTTCCACCTCCAGTGCATGGGCCAATTCATCCTCAAGCGTCTCGTGGTGCCCCAGCTTCACAGCAGCTCTGACTTCCAGGTGGCCAGATGCCGTCGATGAATGTCTGCACCAGGTTCCCCTCAATGAGCGCAGGTACAGACCGGTATGCTTTTCGCACCAGCTTCTCCACCTCAAGGGCCCACTGCTTCAGGTTTTCGTTACTGCGTTGCACGCGATCTTTAAGCTGCGCGCGAAAGACGTGTTCCAGGTGAGCGTCGCCATATCTCGCCTCCAATGCCTCAAGGAGCTGCTCGTAGGTCACTTTCTTACCGAGAGCTTCCAACACAGTTAAGGCTTGGTCGCGCAGGCCTAGGGTGAACGCAGTCATGGCCTGGCTTTTATTCCAGCCGTTCGCCTTCATGACGGCCTCGAACTCGATTTTGTAGGCCGACCAGGAAGAAGTCCCGTCGAACGGCGGCACATTGAATCCACGTAGTGAGGGTGTTGTAGTTACTACGGGAGCTGTAGTTCCATCCCCAAGTTTGAGTTCGTCCAGCGCTTTCTTCACTTGGTTGATTTGGGTTTCAGCTTCCGACAGGCGGTTGTCATGTTGAGCAACCTTATCTTTCACCTCCCTTATCTCTTTTCCGAAGGTAGCGTGAAGGTTTTTCATGAGGAGCATCTGCTCTTCCTTATCGCGTTGGAGTTGCTCTTCTAAACGACGGGCCTGTTCCTCCAAGCGGCGGGCCTGTTCATCACCATCAGAGCACCTAAGTCAGGTGCCACAGACGTAGGAGCTGCTGACGGGCCGGCTTCCGTGGCCGGCTGCTGGCCCTCAGACATCTGCGGCGTTACACCACCAAATCGTCTCTGGTCCGTCTCCTGCTGACGTTGACTTCGGGTACGGACACTCTCTATTTCGTCCTTAGGTAAAATCGGCATGATTTTATCCCACTTCTGACACCAATTGTTACGAGCTTGAGGTTCGTGACAATAAAAACTGCCGATTGAATTACCAAATTTTACACTTTAATTCACTTTACACTAATTAAAACTTAAAACTCTAATAATTAACCACACTGATTCACTTTATTTCGCTCCAAAGCTTCGCTTGTCTCGCCAAATTCAATACTGCCCCGACCGCGTCTTGCAGCGCCTTTAAATACACATTTTTCGCCGAAACGTCCAGAATATTGAAGTAAATACGCGCGCCAACCAACCAGGCGCAGAAAGTTTGAGTATGGGGCTTCCAGAAAGCTTAATTCTTCTGTTCGATACTAGATGGCGCTGTTGGTGGAGCGATTAGTCATGTCATTTTCTGGAAAGCTCTCCTCGCTTTGTTACCCGACACTAGATGGCGCTAGTGCCAGACGTCAACTTAGGCGCGCAACAATACTGTCCTGCGCTAATGGCTAGCCTTCGTTGAGACTGGACGCCGTGACTGAAATTCGGTTTGATGGACATAACTATAGGTAGCTCTGTGGTCGCTTTATGACTATGAAATTTCCGAAGTGAGTTCGAAGTGAGATAGTAGAACAACGTCTGCCGGGGCAGCTGGTGTTTCTTATAAAAATGGGCACATTATAATGTTATCATGTTGTCATAAATATATAAGGAAAGGAATAAAAATTGATACATGTACATGTACATACATACTTACTTACTTATCTTCACGCACAATCCCTAACGGGGTAGCCAGAGAGAACAGATCGCCAAGTGTCACGATCCTTACATACCTCTTTCGCTTCTTTCAGGTTCATTAACTTCTTCATACATGCACGTCTAGGTATCCGAGTACTCTTGACCTTCCCCTCTTCGAGCAATTTGCTCACATGGTCTTCGAAAGTTAGTCTCGGTCTACCTCGACACCTTTTAATATTTACTTTCGCTCTATATATTTTCTTCACCATTCGGTCTTCACTCATTCGCTCAACGTGCCCAAACCATTGGAGTACGTCTCTATCAATTTTTGTGATAAGGGGGCCTAGACAAAATCCGTTTTCTGTAAGCGTTAACGCCAACGGAAAAATCTAATTGTATGGAGTTGACATTTACTAACCAGACGTCACGTGATTGCTGCTTAATTGGTAGACAAAGTCATTATTCCTCATGCGGAAAGGAACGTCGAAGTGAGCGTGACACGCTAACGACAAAAATGTTCATCAAAATGGTAGACAATTGCCACTTTTGACAAACGCCAATGATATTTTGACGTTTCCGCAACACGCTATATTAGCGGGAGATCGGGCCCAGACGCTAACGCTAGAAACGAGTAAACAGTGATATTTTGTGTGTCTTTAATTCAAATTAATTAGTGAAAATGCATACTTTGAGATTATTATGGGCAGCTAATAATGAAACAACATTGCAAAGACGTCAAACAAGAGTAAATCGTCGTAAAATGGTGCAAATTGTGGAGATGGAGGAATTGGAATTTGTTCATCGTTTTAGGTTAGATAAACAAAGTTTTTGGCGTCTTTGTGATGATCTTCGGCGTTTAACGTCATTGAAAGGTACCCGGGAAATTAGTTTAGAAATCAAGGTAAGTTTTGTACCTACATAAAACCTTCCAACAGAGTTAAGTACTTAATGTCATTTCTCAATGAAATCATGTTTCAGGTTTTGTGTACTCTTAGCTTTTTAGCTACGGGTTCATATCAACGTATTGTTGGACTAACACAGCATTTGGTACAAAGAACAACTAGTAGGTGTATACGTCAAGTTGTTGAAGAATTGAGCCATCCAGCCATTCTAAATAAATGGATTCTGTTTCCAAGTTCGCAACAACAACGAGCCCAAATAAGACTTGAGTAAGTTATGATATGACAAAAGTATTTAAGTATAAATACATACTTGAAATACTTTTTATTAGTAGCATATTCTTTGATGTACTAAACACTATACCTTCCTTAAGACCGATAGGTACTTAGAAAATGCCTCATTGAGCCTTTCATGCACACTAGGTTCAAAACACTAGTAAAAACATCTGTCCTTTTAAAAACAAAATAATTAAGTATTATATTTTCCAAAATTACAGGTTTCAGAGGCGATTTAGACTCCCGGGTATAGTTGGATGCATAGACTGTACCCATGTGGCAATAGTCAAGCCACCAGTTGAAGAACATTTATTTTTTAATAGGAAAGGTTATCATTCATTGAATGTACAAATAATAAGTTTGCATTTGTTTGTGGCTCAATTATGTAAAAATAGCTTTAATTACTTTTAAGTACTTACAGAAACATATATTTTTTTATGTCAACAGGTATGCAACAGTAATTTAAAAATTACTAATGTAAATTCAAAGTTTGGCAGAGCTACCCATGACTCATTCATATGGGCATCTAGCAGAATGGAAACATTTATGCGAGAATTGCACCAAAATGGAGAACAAGTGTGGTTATTAGGTAGGTAAATAAATAATATGGTATATTTTTAGATAACACTTTTGTTAAAACATTTTATTCACAAAGAATTATATTGTTGCGTAGCAAATAATTATTACCTAATGCAAATATTTATTTACGTATTTTTAGGTGATTCTGGATATCCTCAGCGGCCATGGCTGATGACTCCCATATTAAATGCAGTTCCTGGATCAGTTGAAGATACATATACTCAGCGACATGTACATGCAAGAAACTGTATAGAGCGCTGTTTTGGATTGCTAAAGTCACGTTGGAGGTGTTTATTAAGACACAGGACCTTGCATTACCACCCTGAGGTTGCTGGGAAAATTGTACTTGCCTGTTGTGTGTTACACAATATGGCTTTAGAGGCCAATTTACCTTCTCCATCTATTATGGAAGTAGAAGAAGATGATGCTCAACCTGACAATGCATCTGATAGCGTTGGTGCTGCTAGTGATCAAAGTGAGCTACTCCAAGGCAGGGCAGTACTGAATAATCTTTTATCAAGACTTTAAAAGTATTTCTGAGTTTTTAGTGTATAATGGTATGTGTTGTGTGATTTTTTTATTCTTTTTTTTTCAATTTAGGGACTTACGTTATGTGATTTGTGAAAGCAATGTAACAAAACCTTATTTCTAATTTGAAGGTGTATATCAAAATTAAAGGTCAAGGTTTTCTGTCAGATATGTTCCATTAATAAAATTATACACTATCCAAATTTTATTGTACAATTAATTTTATGTTAGTAAGTAGTAGATGTAGATTTATAATTTTGTTTTTGTAATTTTAATTGTATCCTTTTGCTGTGCCCAGGGTCTATGTTTTGTACCTAGCTTTAAATGAATATGATTATAAACAAATAAAATTTAATTACATTCTGCATGGAATACATGTCATAGTTTATGGGAGAATATCATGTTATTTAAATTGTAATTTTGTCTAGTGCTTGTACTAAAGTATTTCTTAGTTGTTAGTGTAATGGTATGTGATAAGTAATTTGTGAAATCAATGTAACAAAATTTCATTTTCCAGTAAAAGATCAAAATTAAAAAGGTACTTATTTTCTTTAAAATATTTTTCATTATTAGAATTACACACTATGCACTATTAAGTCTAAATTAAAAAATGAAAACAAATAAAATATAAGTAATATTAATTACATAGCACAGTCAAATAAAATTACATTAGGGGTAGAATAAATTATGTTACTTAAATGCTAATTCGGTCTCAAATCACGAGTCTCCAATAGTGACATAAGAGATGTTATTTTTAAATTTAATTATTGGATGTAGTCACATAGGTCTGCCTCTACACGGGTGCGGACTTCTTCAACCCGAACGCGCTCTCTATCAAGTTGCAGACGTTGTGCTTCTATTTTGAGTCGTTCAGTTTCAAGCTCGTGTTGACGCACATCCCTCTCCCTTTCAAAACGCAACCGATTCTCCTCTATTGCTACAAACTTGCTGGTGGCTCGTTCAAATGGTGTTTGTCGCAGTCTTCGCTGTCTGAGATGGCGATGACGAGGTGTAGAAGGGCCGGCAGATACCGGCGACCTTTCTGAGAACACATATGAAAGCTATAATATACTAAAGAAAACTAACGAAATATGGTGGTGATGGTGGTTCTATCTATGGTGGCAATGAAGTTATTTAATAATGTTGGTAGTTTCAATAACTCATAATAATGAATATTCAATAATTTTAATACCTTTACAAAATTAATTTTGTAATAATTACCTCCTTGTATAGTTCTACTATTTGAAGGTCCTGGCACAGGACTGACAGGATGTGCTGGTGGAGATGTCATATTTGCTGGCACTGCTATGGGTGTATCTTCTGCAGCTGATGGTAATGCCAAGAGCTCAATTTCTGCTGGTGATGACATCCTCCCTGCTGTATCAGCTGTATTGCTCACTTGGGGTTGAGATGGTTCCTAATTACAAAAATATAATCAGTTGTTGACCAGAAATATGCAAGTTTTTATGAAATCAGCAAAACAAGAAAAAACATTAATATATGAAGGGTTCACTTACTTGAAAGCCTGCTTCTTGTATGGCTTGACTTCCAGTAATTGCGGTGACCCCAATTACACGTAACACCCTTTCCTCAAGTCGACTTAATGGTTTTCCCCTACCAGACCCACCACCAGTGCCATGAATGTCCCGATTTATAAGGGAGGCTTTCTTTTTTGTTTTGGTTTTCCAGTCAGACCATACCTGTAGCACAAAATATGAAATAATACATTAAAATAAATGGTCTTCATAGGTACTATGCAACAGCAGTACATACTTTGCTTAATAATTAATATCTTATTACCCTTTTCCATTTGTCGGAAGTTTTGTTAACACCACATCCACCCACTGAGTTTAAAATGTCACCTAACTCTTGCCACAGGCGTTCACTCCTTACCCTTCCTTGAAGTCCAACTTGTGGCCTTGAAAGATCACCATGGCTAAAAATAATATTCATAAGATTAGTGTACAGTGAGAATAAGAGCCAGTAAACAAAGTTTGCTATTAACATTCTAATACCCTTACTAAGAAACAAGTATTAAGGTTTGGAATAGAGTTTATCTTTATAAGAATAACAAAATGTAAGAACAACAATCATATAAGTGCACCATTGTGAGGTTGTTTACATTATGCATTCCATATTCTCAAGTAGGTCCAATACTAATTAAAACAGGGAACAAAATTGAAATAATGCTAGTTTTTACGGAATTTATCGCGTATATTTAACTTTTTAAATACCTGACGTTTCGAGTGCTTTACAGCACCCATGGTCACGGGGGGGATAAATTTCGTAAAAACTAGTATTATTTCAATGTGTAGTGTTCGCGTAAATACAGGGAACAATAATTGGAATAAATGAAAACATTTGGAAAAAACCTACCTTTCCATAAATTCTATTAGCAAACTAAATTGTTCGGGACTCGCACGAAGTCTAGAATCCATATCGCAGTTCTTACAATGTCTTCACTAACTTTTTTGTAATAAAACACTTCAATAACTTTCAACACAACACTTTTAAATAATATTCTAAGCGCGCGTTTGCGTTTGACAGTGACAGATGCAGACGCAATTGACACTTGCTACACACTATTCCATAGACTAATTAAAGAGTGTTTCGGGTAACGCTGCGGAATGGGCGTTTAGCGTTCTATGTGTAACTTGTCTACCAATTTCAACACGCTAACGTCAAGTCCTTAGCGTGAGCGGAAAACGCTTGCACGGGAAACGCTTGGATTTTGTCTAGGCCCACAGGTCATCTTTCAATCCTGCCATATTGCGAATCTCTTCGTTTCGCTTTCGATCGGCTATGGTAACGCCACACATTTTACGAAGAGATCGCATCTCCACTGCATTCAACTTGCTTTTATGCTTCGTCTGGTATACCCAGGTTTCGCTGCCATATAACAAAGTCGGTACCAACACTGCGTTATGTATTGCAAGGCGCGCACTCTTCACCACGCCTTGCCTTTTGACTAATGCATTCAGGGCACCATTGACTTTGTTTCTGGCTGCGACGCGTCTATCCACATCTAAATCACATCTTCCATCCCGGCTGAAAGCACTCCCCAAGTATACAATTTCATTTACCTGTTCTAGACATTCCTAATTTACCCATATTTCACATTTCGTTCTCTCTTCGTCCTTTTCAAATACCAGAACCTTAGTTTTATTAGCATTCAAACGGAGACTTTTAATTTCACATTCCTCTTTCATACACGTGACTAATGCCTGCAGTTCTGCTTCTGATGGTGCAATAAGCACTGCATCATCAGCATACAGCAGACAATTTACTTTTATGTCACCCAATTTCACAACCAAAGAGCTATTTTTCAGCTTCTGTAAACAGCTGTCGAGATACAGTATGAACAGCCAGGAAAACATGACACAACACTGTTTTACGCCCTCTTGGACGCTAAACATGGGTGACAGGTCATGCCCACACACACACACAGGCTTTACAATCATAGTAAAGTGACTGCACATCCCTTAGCAATCGACCATCCACACCATATCCCGGCAACAGTTCCCACATTTCCTTCCTTATAACCTTATCGAATGCTTTCTCCAGATCCACAAAAGCACAGAAAATCCTCTGGTTAACACTCAGAAGCTTTTCTGTGATCATGCGGAGAGAAAACATTGGATCCGTGCATCCTCTTCTAGGTCTAAATCCGCATTGTGCCTCCCATAAGAATCTTTCCGATTTCTCTTGCATCCTACGTGTCAAAACCTTCGAGTAAAGTTTACTTGCTAAATTGGTCAAGCTGATCGCCCGATGGCACCCGCAGGCAAAATGTGAACCTTTACCTTTATATAAAGGCACAATGACCGAGGATCACCAGTCATCCGGGACATCTCCCGTCCGCCAGCACAAGTTGCACAGCAGACGAAAGCTGTCCCAGACGCGAGGCCCACCGTACTTGACCATTTCAGCAGTAACTCTGTCTAGACCCGCAGCCTTACCACATTTCAAACTTCGAATCGCACGTTCAGTCTCTTTCATGCTGATGACCTCAGTGTAATCGAGGTCCGTGTCTGGCGTGCCAGTCATGGCGTTACCACCGGATCCTTCACTAAGATCATGACACGCATACATTTCTCTATAAAATTCACTCCATCGCTGCATGACGTCCGATTTTTCTGAGAGGACGTCATTGGTTCTCGAAAGCACTTTGTTCATTCTTAAGGCTGTCGCACCACTCCGGGACCCTCCAACCTCTTTTCAGAAGAGTTTGGAGTTTTCCTTAAAGTTGTGCGACAACCTCTCGTCCGCTTCTGTTCTACACCTTTCACGTACTTCCCCAATCAATGTTTTCGCATGAACTTTCTGCAGCTTATATCTTTCTTTCATCTTCTCTCTCATATGCTTATCGTTACTAGAGGCCAAGTAGTCTAACCATGCTTTTTTTCTTCTTTTTTACAGCTTCTCTCACTTCATCATTCCACCATGCATCTCTTCTTTTACTACTACCTCTTTTTGTCGTTCCACATACTTCTTCCGCTGCACTTACCATTCCATCCCTAAGGTTCTGCTATGTTCTCTCCACACATTCTTTCCTTCCATCGATGGTGTCAAGCTTTTCGGCTACCCTCGTGTGATATTTATCCCTAGTATCCGCTTCCTGAAGCTTCCAGCTTCGGATGCGACAGACCGACTGTGGTTCTGTTATTGCCGTCCGGTAGTGCCAACCCGCGAACAAACTCCTAAATCTAGTAATTACTAGATAGTGATCCGTTCCCAGGTCAGCACCCCCTGAACACTCGTGTATCCATCACCTGTTTTCGCAGTCGGTCATCCACCAGGAAGAAATCAATCATACTTTTCTCATTCTTTCTTTCTCTAGTGTACATATGGATTTTCCTGTGATTAAACATAGTGTTTGTCACAAGAAGACCCTTTTCCTTGCATACAGCCAGTATAAGTTTGCCAGCATCATTAACCCTTTTATCGCCAAACTTTCCAACCACCGACTCGTATCCTGGTCGAGCGATACCTACCCATCC